AAAATTCTTGTGAGAAATTGAATGGTTTGAATAATTTTGCAACGTTGGAATTGGGTTACGTTCCATCGTCCGAAATATGATGAAGAAGAAGTAAGCAGTTGCTGACTTTTATAAACTTATCGGGATGATAGTGGGAGACGCATAAACGCACACGGATGTTGTGACTTAATTCCCTGGTAAGCTGACATGAGTGACAGGATAGGTGTGAATAAGCATAAAACAAGAAGGAAACAATCTTAATCCAATTATTCAGAACAAATTCTAAAGCCCATTTCTGATCTCTCTCTTCTCATGTGGCGGCTCGATATGTTTCGATGCATATCAAATGGAGGAAGATTATCGTAGTCTCTCCACGAATGTTTCGTAATATTCGTTGAGGATTTGGTTGCGCATCAAAAATGTGCAAGCATGAGAAAAATACCACGAGATTACGTAGCACTGAGCCCGTGCACGGAACTACAGACAACTGGATTCTTGGTCGCCAGGAGCAGCAATTTGGCAACCCCGGATTCCCTCCATTTAAACCTATGCTAAAAAATCGATTCTTGTCGGAGCACATGGCCCCCCCAAAGAATCGATACATTTCCGTAGGTTTAAATGGAGGAAAGACGATGTTGCCAATTTGCTGGATCCGCCAATGTGGCCTGGACAAAAGTACGGAACTACATTTCAACATAGCGAAACACCTGCTCCCAGATTGTATTTATCAAGTTTTTAACTGAAAATGTGGCAGAGTTTTCATCTGATTACATGTGAAATCAGCATGATTCGGGCAGCTCTTCTGCCGTGCTTAGGAAAAACGCCGTATGAACCTTCAGGCGTTGCCAAATTTCATTTGAAAAAAAGACTAGTTGTTAATATGTTTCTTCCAATTTCTCAGATAATTTTGTTTGCAGTTTGATCTAAAACTTCTGAAAATTTTAAGAAAAAACATGCATAACTCTCCTCAAAAATGAACATTTTATCGAAGGAAATTTGGCAACTCTCGAATGTTCACACGGCGTTCTTCCTTAGTACGGCAGTATTCTGCCGTGCTATGGAAAAACGCCGTATAAACATTCGAGCTTCTCGCCGAAGTTTCAATGTCTATTTTAAAGGAGAATTATGAATATTTTTCTTTTAAATTTTCGGATAATTTAGATCTGATTGCGAATATACTTCTCTGAATACTTGGTGGAAGATAATCACAGATTTCTTTTCATAATTTGTCAGAGGAAATTTAGCAACGTCTGAAGACTCATGCGGTGTTCTTCCTCTAGGTGTGGTAGTATTGCACAGTTATATTCCTACATACATCTGTAAAAATTGTAGTTACATTTTTCAATCGTGAAACGACGTATTTTGTACAAGTATTAAAGCTTTGAGAATAGGTTGATTTGTCCTACTTCTCTCGTCGCCTTTGAAAAATGGTCGACCCAACAAATTCCCATAACATCAAAGCAACAAAAAAAATCCGCTATCCATTTTCATGTAAAAACTTGAATTGCCCAATCACGATTGACGATAGCTGATAAGGCGTTGGTTCCTTGCTGCTTGACGCAGTCCATATGACAGAGTAATACAAGTGCGGCATGTTTTGACAGAGAGGATCATCATTTCGCCTTCAATTTGAGGTGATGCAAAAGCAGTTGCCTTTGCGGCTGGGTTTCCGATGCAGGCGTTCTACCTACGCGATCTAACTTCAAATGAGAGCTAACCGACATGTGGGCCTGAGCCGTCCGTAAAATGCGTAACGTTTCAGAAAGGAAGGAGATCGGAGGGTCATTTATTTCCCAAAAATAAAATTAGATTTTGATATCGGAGCGAGATAAGAGGGCTACATTACTGAATTTCTGTTGTTTTTTTTTTTTTAAGATTTACCAGGGGGCTACGTCCCGTGACTGCTTCGCGGTTCAATTTCCCGAGGCGCTTTGCGCTTAAGCTGCCGTGCTAAGGAAGAACGCCGTATGAATCTTCAGGCGTTGCCAAATTTCCTTCGATAAAACACGACTTTCCCGATTAACTTATGAGTATTTTCCTTCCAATTTTTCAGATAATTTTTTTCGCGATTTTACCCAAAGCTCCTGAAAATTTCAAGGAGAAATATTCATAACTTCACTGAAAAAAATAATATGCTATTTTAGCACCTATATTGTCAAAAATGTGTCTGGTAATCCCAAGATACTGCCTTTACTGCCCCCGCGGTCAACTTTACATCCTGTGGATGCAAATTCAACCGCGTGAGCAATCAAGGCAGCATCTTGAGATCACCAGACACATTTTTAACATCCTAGGTGCTAAAAAAGCATACAATTTTCTTCAGTGTTTCTTTGATTATAAGCATTTTATCGAAGGAAATTTGGCAGCTCTCGAATGTTCTTACGGCGTTCCTCTTCAGCAGGGCAGTAAGGCGCAACGCATTACGTGTTACTCTTATGGTTCTATATCATTATAGAGTAAGATATTTGAGTGAATATCTTACGTGAGTGATATTTGGCGACGGGGACGTCTCGTAAAGGGTTGGCGGCAGGGCGTTGACGAAGAGATGTTGCGTTGTCAGTTGCCCGATAACCTCTGGGAAGACAGGCATATGTGGCGTTTGGGTGTCGTAGAACGCCAGAGTGCGTTGTAAAGCATATATATATATATATATATATATATATATATATATATATATATATATATATATATGAGTGAATTCATTGGCTCATGCGAATTTACGCACCTGGCAAACTCGGGGAAGCTGGGCACATCGAGCGGGAAGCTCTGCGAGTCGGTGGCGTGCCAGTGGAGGACGTTGAGCTTGCTCATGGCCATGGCGTCGAGGGTCCTCAGGATCATGTCCACAGGGATGAAGTGCCGCGCGGTGTCCAGCATGAGTCCGCGGTGCCCGTACACCGGTTTGTCCGAGATCTTCGCCGCGGAAACGATGACCAGGTAGTTGTAAGCGTCCGAGGAGTAGCCGGATATCAACTGGTTCAGCGTCTCCATCCCGTGCCGCGCCCCGTAGATCGTCCTCCCGCCTATGTGCACGTCCACCTTGCTACCTAGGGAATAGTCCACCGTGGATTCATTCAAGTTTTAATTAGCAATGAGTGAACTCCATGTGGATTGCATTTTGCAAAAAGGAACCACTAGCATTGCAATGATGCTAAGATTGTGCAACTTCATCTCTTGCGATAAAATCGGGGAAATCGTGAAAAACTATGAAATTTAGATGGTAATTTTTGTCTTAAATTTACAGTTTTTAGCAAGTGAAATAGAAACTATTATTGGATAATCGGGTTTTTCCTCCAAGACAAAAGAAGTTGCACAATCTTAGCAACATTGCAATGCCAGTGGTTCTTTTTTGCAAAATGCAATCCATGTATCAAAAAGGGCGCAGTCTAGAATATCTATATAGGGAGATACGGTCAATGGAGAATTTGCATGCAAATGTTTTATTGCTTCATCTGAAAGTGCTAAAAGAGCTGATTTCACAGTATTTTTTATAATTTTGTTCTAATATGGGAAATAGTATAAAAATGGATGTTAAAGTGAGAGAATGCACCGCTTAGTGACGTCATCTGGCGGCATTTCCCATTTAAACACGCACGTATTTTGGCAGATTAAATCATTTTGTCATGTTTTCTCCAATACTTGTTCAATTCCTGAACCAAGGGTATCCTCGCGTTCACTTCTCTCGGTAATTTCCGCTTAAATACAAAATTAATCGAACTTCAGACATCTGCAAATTCTCTATTCGGTAATTTAGAGGTGGGGGAGCGTTCATAACGTAAGTAAGTCACTTTTCCAGCATTTTTGATCTCCCTCCCCCTTGTAACGCTTTTGTGGCTAGGTTCGTACCCATCAGCACGTGCAAACAAAAAAGAGAATGCTCTACTCGACCCCCTCCCCCTCTAATTTATGGACGTAATTTATGGACGGTCCCTAAGTCATGGAGCTTTTAGAGCCTAAAACGGCAGCCAACCTATTAGCTTTAGGCCTTGTCTCCACGGGACGTTTTCATGGGATTTGTCCCAAGTGCGAGTCGCAGGAATGAAACTTCTGGGATTTTTCCCAGTTACCGTCTCCACGGGACGAGGCTCATACAGTCCTGCGACTAGTTTTCGCGGGAAGATAAATTGGTTAAAGTCGAGTGTTTAACCGGGATTAAAATAATAATTGCACTCAATTGACAATTAGACACATTATTTTAACTAAACAAACATTAACAATGTGGTAATGAATAAACTATCGCACAATTCGTTTTCACTTCTTCTTCTTCTCTCAGTGGGTCCTAGGGGTACAAGTACCATACTTGGTACTTGATTAACTCAATATTTTTCCCAACTTCGTAAGTGGGATTTTTCCCTGGGACAAATCTCGTGAAACGGCTCGTGGAGACAAGGCCTACGGCCTTATGCGCTTTAGAACTCAATGACTTTACCTTGAGTCTCAACATGGAGGGAGTAGGATTCGTCGGTCTGCCAGTGAAGTGCAGTATCAGACGAATTTGTGGTAATTCTAACCGTGACGTCATTGTCGAATTCATTCGAGCAGTTGGCGCCACATTGCTCAAGCCAGGCGGACACGAAGCTCTGAGCTGTGAATGCTAGGAACTCTTGTGCGATTGAGCTTCGCTTTCCTGCCACCCGACGTCCAGCCACGTCGGCCAAATTGAAGATCACCCTTCCGGGGTGAAACGGAACGACCCGGTCGCTGAAATCAGAATGCTTAGTGAGAATCCCTTGTTGAAATAGATAGACAAAGCGAGAGGCAACGAGGAAATGGAGTGATTCTATTAGTTGAAACTGCTAGACTGCCGCGGATGGAAGAACGCCTTATGAGCCTCCAGACTTTGCCACAGCTCCCTCAATAAAAAACTGATTTACTGGTAAAATGTTTAATACTTGTCTTCAAATTTTTCAGACAATTTTGCCCTAATTTAATCTAGGATATCTGAATATTCCAAGGAAGAGGATAGAATTTTTTTTCTTCAAAAATACATGTTTTATCTGGTGACATTTGGCAACTCTCGAATGTTCATACGGCGGACAGTGGATCGAGTCAATCAGAGAGGTTGGACATGACATTTTTGACTAAAACTGCAAATTTTGATGTTTATTTCGTCACATTACAAACTGTAAAGAACGTACTCAGAAGAAAATTTAACGACAAGACCAATAGAACTACTTGTAGGACCTTAAAATTTTGCATAAACGGAGTTATAAGCTTTTAAAGTTTCCAAATTTTGTCCGACCTCTCTTATTGACTCAATCAACTGTGCGGCGTTTTTCTTTACCACGGCAGTATAGGCAAAGGGGGTAGGAAATAATGCGTACATGGCAATGAAAGTATAGCACATATGGCAATAAAAGCGTAGGCAATAATGCATAACTTTAGGATCTCATGGGTTGCCGATAGTTAGTCACCCTCTCCTCCTTTGTTCACCGCAGTCTCCCGCTTCCACCAGTAGAATCGCTTCCTTTGTCTTCTTTGTCTATAGATTTTGTCGATTAATTTAAAAAATCAGCCCGCATACAGAAGAATAGTCTAATTTAGTGCGAATCCAGACTTCAATTCAGTCATGAATTCAGAGCGCGTATCGCTGTCGAGGTAACGGGGGTCAAAGCGCCTTCAATTTTTGGCACCCGCAACACGGCCGTCCTCAGAGTACGAATAATTGTATCCAAGCGCCTTACGAACACCTCGTCTCATCTCTGTCGGAATAAGGACTAACGGATGGTCCTGTTCAGTGTTTTCGATTTAAAGTAATCAATGCAGTGACATTTGTTAATCTCTATTTATTATCGTCTTTAGGAATGGGACCTTACTTCACAAAAGTTCAAAATTGGGAATCAAGAGACCATAGAAATCTAAAAGCAAAATGGAGTGTTCTAAAAATATTTTTGGGCCAAAACATGTTAAACAACTTGAAAGTAAACGAGAGTTGTGGCAGTTTGAAGTTTGCAGTTCAAAAAACGCTGTTTTTATTTATTTTAAATACAATGTCTGAACAAAGCCCAAAACAGAGCTGTTGTGACGGAGATGCTATTCAAATATTAATTTGCCGTTCACAAAATTTATTATAACCTAATAATATGATACCACATCAAAACTGGGCTAAAGCCTGAAAGTAATTACGATGGGAAGTAAAATTTCAAATTGAAACTTTTTTTGGGATCCTTCAGATGTGTGATCAATTTAAGGCCAAAAAAACCCCTTAAAGAAATTTTTTATTATGCCCAAAAGTTTTCTCTTTTCATTTTGGTGACATTTGGAGTGAAATCCCCAACTAGTTTCCCTCTGCGGGCTCCGACCCCCCCCCCTTTATTTTTTTTAAAAAAAATAATAACTTTTAGGAATTGATTCAGACTCGTGCCACTAATAATGCATATTACCTGATGGAAAACAATCACAATAAAATAGAAAACCAATGCTAGAGAACAACCAAAATGCCTGAGACTTTTCGGGGTGGTTTCAACCCCTTTTTTGCTCAGAAAACAAAAAATATATTAAAATTATTAAAAATCAATGTCCCTCAGATCCCCATTTGTGATAATAAAAAGGAACTCCCGGGTTTTTCCAGAAATATTTTTCTCACCTAAGAGAGGTGGGTCCAGTTGGTCGGGGCCACAGTGCCCCGTACTGACCGCAAGTAAGTCTGCACACCTCCAGCGTCTGACCCATGTCTTGGAGGACACCGTGTGATGATCCATCTTCGCTCCGCACACATTTACCCTCCACGCACCGCCATGACCATCGCCACCTTCAACAAATTGATCAGTAGCGAAATTTTGCCTGAATCGCATTGAACTGTTTTGTCGATGAAACTAGGTATTTTAGGGGCCTTAACCCAATGGTAACCTGGAAAAATTACGATTCCAAGTAGCATTGATTGCCACTTCTATTCAAAGTTACTGCCTAAAGAGTCCCTAGAGAGCAATGACCATAATCTGTGTAAAAGCACTCATGAGTGTAGCGCGCGAATTACTTTCAGGTGAACAGGGTCGATAGCGCCTTCAATTTTGGCACCCGCAACATGGACGTCCATTAAGTACAAATAGCTGCATCCAAGCGCCTCAAAAACGGTTCTGACGAAAGTTTTTCTACGGTTCGATTACTTTGGGTTTAAATCAACTTATAGGTGTTTTAAACGAGAAAAAAAGCTAAAATTTCCCCCCAAAATTTGGCAATGACTACTATTTTTGGCAAGACAAAGTGGCTGAGCAACATCTTCACAAAATAAACTCGAGCAGCTACATGTGCAAACACACTTTTTGGCAAATACCTTTAAAAGAGTAAAAGGTTAGGATTAAAATAAACATGTTACGATTGAAAATAAAAATTAATATTGAAATGAGAAGCCTCTAGAATTAGAAAAATTCATGAATAGTTCATTTTTTTTATCTTTAAAATTAGGGAAACTTGAAATTACGCTTTATCGTGTGTACCGTGTACAGAAATGATAATCTGACACTTACCCATCAGTTATTTTCAAGACTGCAGACAAGAAAATTGGTATCAAGATGACGTTGGAGAGTCGCCATACTGCCATGACGGAGCCAGGCGGTCAGCTCGACCCTGAAACAAGATGAAAAAGCAAATAAGATTTTCAAGTTACTCAGAAGTTACCAATAACTCATAAAGATACGTGTACTGTTAATTTTTTTCATTTTGAAAGTCCTTAATGCTTTGGTGCTGACTTTTTCGAAATTTCTCAGAATGAATAATCATTAGTGAGTATACACATGTCTTATGGGATGGGTCATTTATCCCACATGACATGATCCTTCGTAATCCGATTATTTCTTAAATCACTGATGTTTCAACTAGTTGTTCATTGAAGAATCAAATAAGAGGATACCACAGGCAGCAATCAGAGTTGAGCTATAGTCGATGTCGTAAGTCGAAGTCACGAGAGTTACAAACAAATGAGAATAAGTTATGCAGTTTAAATCAACCCGCAGGCGAAGCTACTGAATTTGTACTCGGTGCATCAATGCTTGGCTGAATGGATGCATGTGTTACTGTTGGAAACCATGAATCGATCTTTTAGAGTTGAGTATTTTTCATCCTCAAAACGATCCAGTTGGTGCATTTTGATGATAAAACCAGAAAAACACGCGCATATAATTGAGATTGCATGAGTTTTAAAAGTTCTCTTAACACATTGCCATTAACAACATAATAAATTGACCCACTCGTAACTTATTCTTAAAACGCCAGGGAGGGTTTCACACAATGGCGAGTAATGAATGATTGATTTTCGATATTCCCAGATTTGAAGCTATGATAAAGAATAGATGATTAAGATGTTCGTTGCGAACAATCTGTTTATCGATCCTTTCCGTAGATTTAAATGGCAGATTAATCGATACATTACAAAACACATACCACGCGCGCCACTGGTTTCACGTCAACATCCCGAAATCTATTTTTTCGACCTACCTCCGAAAAAAGTAGCTTCATCCTCTGACATTATTCCTAGGACTGGAGCCTCTGTTCCTATGTCTTTGAACGGTCACAATTTTTTTATGAATATTGCTGTCAGTAGGTTTCTACATATAAAAACTCGTTACGAGGTACGAATTAGTAAGCGAGGTAATTTTTGTGAAAAATCTTGCAATGTGGGTTTACTTGGCATCGGCACATGCATACGATCTTACAGTCGTCGTTTTCTATTATTGCGAAGCAACAGAGAAAATATTACGGCTAAAATTATACTTATAAAGGCATGCACTAAAGATTCGAAACCTGTTCGGGCTGCTCCCGTTTAAACGAACAATGAACCGATGAGTTGCCATGAACCCTAGGACAGAAAATTCGACCGTATGAAGAGATTAATTGGTAGTCCGAAGGCCACCTTCTATTGAGTGGTCATTTCAAACGGTGATTGAGGAGGAATTCACGCTTAACCATAACTTGAGCATCAGGAGTATCAGTGACATGTTTGAGCCTCGTATCATACGAGGCATGCAGAGGTGAGGCAACACCATTGTAAAGTTTTCGAAAGAATAACCAAATTTGCCGTGCTCGCGGTAAAATCGCAGGGTCTGTAGATTGCAATTTAATACGCTCCACTGGCCCAAAAATGATCTGATTTGCTCGCATCCTATACTTTTCGGGACACACCACAGAAATTTTCGTCTGAATTTCAATATACGATTTTTTTACTCAATTCGACAAATATAGCTCTCTTAAAAATGTTACTTTCGTCGCACCTCTGACGTAAGGACCTATCTCTATTTCCACATAAGCCCCGGAAATTATAGAGCCATACAAAGCGCACGGCTCACCTGAAAATTAAGATACGCCCTTATGCCACATAAAGCGGCAGCTTCGGCTAGTTTTCCCTCCCGTGGACGATCACAAAATTCTTCACTGGAAAAAAAACACATTGAATCTAGAGTCCAGACTCTTGAAAACAGTGCCAAGAAAAAATACTCTTGATTCAATCGGATTTTTGCTTGAATCAAAACGAAATCCGCTTAAATTAAGAGGCTTGGTTCTTGATTTAAGCTAGATTCTGATTGAATCAAGAGTACTTTTTCTTGTAGATGTTTTCAAGAGTCTGAGCTCTAAATCCAATGTGTTTTTTTTCCCAGTGTTTGCTAAAAACGATCATGTTGGTGCAGTATGGCGACTCTTGAAAGTTGGTAACACTGTTTTCCCTCCATTTAAATGTGTGTGAAACAATCGATTCTTGGTGAGGTAGCTTGCATCACCTAAAATCGATATTTTCTGCGGATTTAATTGGTAGAAAAACGGTGCTGCCGACTTGCAAAATCGCCACTGTGTTGGTGACTGGAATTCGTACCATGGTTTTTGCACCATTTTGGGTGAAACATAATATCATGTTGGCACCAACATGGTATGAACATAGTTTTAACATGGTGCCAAATTTATTTTTCTCAGGATTGTTCCATGTTGGTTGCATATGTTGGTCAAGGTTAGGCAATGCCCTGTTATACTGTTAACGGTTGGTCATCATTTAACACTGACTCTAATGAATGCGGGATGCATCCTCATGGCTCCTGAGGACTTCATTGAGATATGTATTTTCATTATTAATCTGAACAAATGACAATAGGAGGAAACTGAATTGAGTTGCCACTTTGGCAACAATGCCCATTTTATGCAGATTAGGTGTCGCGTCCACTCATGTTTTATGAGTGCGGGTGTACGCCCTGCGTAACAAATGAACCTTATAGCTTCACTGTACAATAACAACAAACTGATCTCTATTCTGATCTACTGATCTCTATTTCTGATCTACTGATCTCTCTAAACTGATCTCTAAACTTTGTCTCTATAAACAAAACGCTCAATGCCACAATGATGCTGGGTATGTGCATGTTGCGCTCTATTGTTGGGATAGGTGTTTTATTATTCCTTCAGAATAAGGCTGGTGGACAAATTGTACGTCTAAGAATATTCTATCTTTGAATATTATTGACTGTCAAAACTCATACTTAGATTAACTAAACAGTATACCTTCAAAGAGAGGGAATGGACACTGGGCCCAACAAAGATCCATAAGAAAAGAGAAATGGCGGCGACTTTAGGTGAAAAAGGGTTGTTACCAAAATATTTCGTTATCAACCTTCTGCACCTGATACCAACCTTGCCATAGATATTAAGGTGGAAATGATTACTTTGAATGTTATGCACAAGACTGGTTTCAAAACAGAGTAAATGCGCCTAACATGAATTGGAATATAGTTCGCAATGAATATTCAGTGAATAAAACGTCTTTTTTTGAAATTTTGAATAATTATGCATGCCGAGTTCGCCATTTTTCTTTTATCCGAAGAGCTTTTATGGAGCCGAAGATGGCTAAACAATCAGGAATGGACCCTCCAGTGACCACTTCAATAAACTACAATTACACGGTAAAATAATATTTTTACTGCATCGAAGTGCTGTGCATGTTGCCTATCTGTCGATTGAGGGGGCACTTCCAACTGAAATTCATTGCGAAAAAATTGAAATAAGAGCAATTTTTCATCGTATTGCAAATTTTTTTTTTCTCTATAATGGCTATGGAACCAATCTCATCATGGTGATAGTTTGGTGTAAACCAAATTATGTAAAACAAATTACAGTAAATAATTGCAATTTTATGACATTTTTTCGCAACTGTTTTCAAATATTTGCATCGCATCGTGCCCCCAGGGCAAACAGTTATTCTAAATCTCCTCTTAAAGGCTAAAACTTGAAAAACTATGCAAGAAATTTGGGATGAATCTACAATAAGTATCAGGAATGAGGACGAGTTGACCCTATGACGGGACATTTATCGATGCGGACACGAAATCCAGCATTGGTTCAGACTACGCGCGCTGCGGGCGGGACCTTGCTCCAGTGCTGACCATTGACTTGACACGGAAACCCGAATGCGTCGATTCATTCGCCCGCGGCTCAATTTTCCCAACCAAAGCGTGAAGGTCTTGAACCTAGTTTTTCACTCTCCACTCTTCCCATGTGCACCGGGAAGTGGGCGAGAAAATTAAAGCACAAAGGTGTCATTTTCAGAGAGGTTTGGATGAACGACATGAATTCTTTTAATTTCCACGTATTTTTTGCGAATCTGTTTATGACGTCCTGCGGGCTGATTGTTGAAATTAGACAAAGCTATAGACAAAGAAGATATTGGAAGTTTGGAGCGATCCTGTTGGTTGAAATGGATGGCTCATATGAACTAGGGCAAAAAATGATGGATCAACTATAGCGTATTTCGTGGGTTGCCGTTGGTTACTTCATTACTCTCCTCCAATGTTCACCCTCGAAAAATTGGCGATAGGAGCTGTGTTTCAAAATACCATAGGAGTTCTTACAGCCGACTGAAGAAGGCGATAGATAATCACATAGCTGGCTGTAGAAAGTGGAAAAAATCATACGGCCAGGCTACACGAAGCGATAAAAAATTAAACAGCCGGGGTATAGTTCCTGTCGCCGGGCTTTACACTTTATCGCCTGGCTGTTGCTTTTTCGCCATCGGCTATGAAAGGCTACAAGAAATTGTGTAGAAATTCGTGTGTTTTGTAAATCCTTAAGTTTGTACGGAGTCACCATAATATTTACAAAACGCACATCATATTTTCCTTTACTACATATTTGTTTTCATCAATTAAAATGAGAATAATCCATACAGAGTGTGCAAACATTTCAAAGTCACGAGTTGAACAACGCTGACTCCGCGAGATTAAATATTACAGCCTAACACAAAGCGGAGCGGCGGCGCACTGGCGCCTACAAACCTAACAAGGATACTTCACGCATTGCGCAATGCGTGAAGTATCCCTGTTAGGTTTGTAGGCGCCACTGCGTGTCTCGCGCTGGCTGCCCGCCCGCCGCGCCGCGCCGCAGCGTACCACGGCGCTTGAAGCAACTATTTCACCCCAGAGGTATTGCACAGTATCGTACGAAATTGAAAGCGCTCCAACATATTAGGAATCGCAGGCATCCTTCAAAAGTACGGAGCTTTCCTCGCAAAATAAATCAAGATACTTCGGCCAAAAAAGAGAGTGGTAGTCCAAAAACTCACTAAGTCCTAGCATCCGTAATTAGTATAACGTTTA